CTGCCAGGCTTTTCTGTCCATAGGATTCTCCAGGCAAGAATACTGGAGTGGGTTGCTCTGCCCTCCTGCAGGGGATCTTCCCAGCTCAGGAATCGAACCTGTGTGTCTTATGTCTCCTGCACTGGCAGGTGGGTTCTTTACCACTAACACCACCTGGGAAGCACTGCCGACAAAGGTACATGCCTGCATATTGTCACTTCGTCACATAAGTGATATCACATGGTATTTGTCTTTCTCTTTCTGACTTACTTCATTTACTATGATAATCTCTAGGTCCATCCATGTTCCTGCAAATGTCATTATCGCATTCTTTGTTCTGACTAATATTTCATTGTACATATGTACAGATCTTCCTTATTCATCTGTTGATGTTGTTTCCATGTCTTGGCTACTGTAAATAGTGCTGCTGTGAACACAGGGGTGCGTGTATCTTTTCAAATTAGAGTTTTGTCTGGGTATATGCCCAGGAGTGGGATTGCTGGATCATAAGGCAACTCTATTTTTAGTTTTTTGAGGAACCTGATAGTGTTTTCCACAGTGGCCGTACCAGTTTACATTCCCACTGACAATGTAGGAGGGTTCCTTTCTCTCACACCTTCTCCAGCACTTACTATTTGTAGACTTTTTAATGATGCCCATTCTGACTGGTGTGAGGTGGTAATTGTTGTGCAGTTGCCAAGTTGTGTCCAACTCTTTGCTACCCCACAGACTACAGCACACCGGGTTACCCTGCCCTCCACTATCTCCCGGAGTTTGCTCAACTTTATGTCCATTGAGTCAGAGGTGCTATTTAGCCATCTCGTCCGCTGCCTCCTCCTCACCGTGGTTTTGATTTGCAGTCCCCTGGGAATCAGTGATGACGAGTGCCTTGTCATGTGTGCATCACTTCTTGAGTAGACCTTACTATGCAATGAAGGAGCGTTTCACTCTTGACCTACGCTGCAGGCAAGGCTTTACCCGGGCTGCCCCCAGATGACGTCCCGGTGATGCCCGCTGCCCTCTGCGAACCTGGGGCTCCAGAGACTCCAGATGCCCACAGGCCTCCAAGCCTCTGCCTCTTTGAGTTCCTGGTTCAGGCCTTTCCAGCTCCCCACCTGCTGGACTTTTGAGGCCTCTTCAGAGGTCATTTCATTTCCATAGCTTCCTTCGCCCACACTTCCTTTCCCGTCTCTGATTCTTTGAAGCTTGAGTGTCCTTAAAAACAAAACTTGTGGCAAGGACCAGGGCACAGGTCATTTATTTGCACAAGAGAAGGGGTAGAGATGGCGAGGTGGGGAGGCGTTGGATACAGAACCAGGAGGGGGCTGGGGCCACTGGGGTCTGTCCTGCCGGGGCCCGTGAGGGACCGTCCCTCTTGCCTTGGAGCTGGCCCACCATGCATTAAGGAGGCTGGATGTTTATCTGCTGACTCCACCCCTCCTGGGTTGAGGGTTGGCCCTGGGGGCAGTTGGTCCCAGCACTTCACAGTTGCTCCCACGCAGGTTCAGTGAGACCACCCCCCCAGTGCCACAGGAAGCGCCTGCTTAAGCGTGGACGCAGAAGGGCTTGGGGCTTGAGGAGAGATGCTGCCACGTGCAGGGCAGACGTCCACCGCGGGCAGGTGGACGCGAGGGGTTCTGACCCACGGGCCCTGCATCCGCCACCCGGCTGCCCCCGCTAACCCTGCCCGTGCCGGGGTCCATGTGGCACTCGGTGAATCCCTCTGTAGCAGCTGGAATTGTTTGTTTTCTAGCATCTGTGATTCCATTTTCTGTCTCTGCTTGACATTTCAACCCTCAGAACAGCTCAAGCGGCAGGAACCATCATTATTCCCATTTCATAATGGGAAAAGCGAGTCCCAGAGAGGTGAACCTGTCTCGTGTTCACTTGTTTCTGCCTCCAGACCATGAGCGCCTGAAGGGCACAGCCTCTGCGCTACTGCTCTCTGGATACTCACCCCCAACGCGCTGTCCGGCATATAGTAGGTGCTCAGTAAATGGCACTGGGATCAGACTATTCAGAAGACTCAAAGGCACAGTGGGAAGGGGGACGGCAGGCATGGCACTGAGCGATAGCGTTTTGAGAACAGCTTCTCAGTAACCACCAAGGCTGGAGAGATCGGATTGTCCAAACCCAGTCTGTCCGGAAATCCTCAGGAAGAAAGCAAGTCAGGTTGTGTGGCCGCTCACATGCCAACTGCCGGCTTTTCCTGGCCGTGGGCTTCAGTCACGCGATTACACCTGCATCTTACACACGTAATTACAGACGGAATTAGTATTCTGTCCTTACCCTTTGATGCCACGCTAAGGGACTCTTTGGAACACAATTTTGTCTCTGCCCAGCAGATATCGAGAAGAGCCCCGAGTCCTCGTCAAGGCGTAAACAACACAGCGGGGGGAAGCCTTGCTGCAGTTTCACGGAACAGATGGTCTGATGACGTCGGTGTCTCCAAATTACCTGCAGCCAAAGCAGATGGAAAAATTTACATCACAGCCCAAGCCTGACGGCAGGCAGGGAGCCACGGAGGACTTCAGGGGAGATGCTTTCTCCACGTGGGATGCTTTCGTCGCTTTATCCTCAAGTTCCGCTGGGGATCTTGACACTGCGCAAATTCCTCTGAGAAAATAGCAGGAATTGTTTCAGCCGATGCCACAGACACCATCAAGGCAGGGTGCCGCTGCCGCGGAAGGGTGAGACTGGGTCTGCAGAGAAGTCATTACATGTCTAAAAGTATTGTGTTTGGTGAAAAGAAACAGCTCAGAGCTATAATTTAATGCGATGGTCCTGGGAAAGAGAAACTCACCATGATGCTGCACATTTAGCCCTGGGCACGTTGCAGTTTGTGGGATTTTCACTCCGACTTGATCCAAGAGGCTGCATTATAATGAACATTTCTCCCCTGGGACTGACTGCACAGCCCTTTATCTCTGCCCATCTTATTTCCTTATTTATCAGCATGCCTTTTCCTGCCTGCCAGCGTCCAGGGCCTTTATTTCCTTTATGCAAAGTTGGAAGCTGTGTGAAGTGATGCATTCCACCTCTAACTGTGGATCAGCCAATCTGGGCTGAACTACCTCAAGTCCCAGACCCCAAACCTCAGTCGGAATCCTTGAGGAAGAAGCAGACCTCTGGGGTTTCCCACATTTGTCCGAGGACTCGCAAGTGGCTGAGGACAAAACCAAGAACCCAAGAGCCAACTGGCCTTCACAGGTCTACAAACTCAGTGTCCCAAACTCACCTCTCTGTCTCCAGAGGTGCAGACCTGAAAACACCTGGTTTATATAGTTTGAATTCAAAGGGAACTCAGGAAGACCTGAAAAGCAATTTTTGAATGTCCTTTTCTCCAACATTCCCCTTCAGTTCTCACAGCAGTCTAGCTTGGTGCAAGGCTAGCTTGGTTTAAGTTCCAGGAACCAGACCCCGACACCAGAATCTGACTTGGGTGGGGGGTAATCCCACAAAGCTAGGAGAGAGGAATTGGGGCAGGGAGGGGAACACAGGCCTCAGGGTACCCCGCCCGAGAATTGAGAGAGCTGGGGTGCATACCCTCCAACTCTCTCTATTTGGGAGCTGCTTCCAGCACTACTGACTTCTCCATTTGTCTGGAACTTCTGCCACTGGGGCCAGGGAGAGTCCTCAGAGGAGTGTGACCGATTCTTGCAGCAGATGCATCAGAACGAGTGCCCTGGGGGATACAGGCAGAGGGGGCCAGCTCACGCTACCACCAGATCTGGGTTCAAACCGGAATCCACCCACTTGCTGGATGAGCTCGGACAAGTTAGCTTCCCTCTCCCATCCTCCGTTTCTTCTTCTGTGATGTGGAGAACAATACTATCACAAGACACTGTGAGTTGTAAAGGAGATGTTGATGGTAATAATATTATTATTATTAAGCAGCTGAACTGCTTGGCACAGCGTTTGCCAAGGAGGCCCTTGATATATGGTTTTGTTGCCATTATTGTTGTCTTTCCCTGTGTCACACACCTACGGGGAAAAAAAAGGGAATTGAGAATCCTGTTGTGTTACAGCAGACTGGGACCTCGGCCAGCACTCAGTCCACCTCTCGAAGAGGAAGCTAGAGGATGAGGAACGTGGCAGCTGCAGGGGGAAGAGCCCACGGTCAGAGGCGGCCCGGCGGGCGGGCTCACCAGGGCGCCTGGCTCCGAGCGCAGGGCTCGTCCCACCTTCCCCGACCATCTCCTTCAGAATTAAATCATGCAGACCGTGCATCCCGAAGGAAGAGCGAACCTTCACCACATCCTAGGACGGCAAAGCGTCTTCCCTGGTGGCTCAGATGGTGAAGAATCCACCTGCCAATGCGGAGACTGGAGTCCATCCCTGGGTTAGAAGGAGCCCCTGGAGGAGGAAACAGCAGCCCACTGCAGCGTTGCTGCCTGGAGAGTCCGTGGGCAGAGGAGCTGCTGGGCTGCAGTCCATGGGGTCGCAAAGGAGTTGCGACTGACCAGCAACAAGCAAACAGGTTTCCTCTGGCCACTTCGATGCGTTAGCAGTGGCTGTCGGTGGGGCTGTGCTGAGAAGGATTCCGATGACAGGCTGCGACAGGCCCTGGGTGTGACTGGTTATCAGTGTCTGCCATCAGCCTGGGATCCTGGCCGTGGGGGTGCTGACCATGGGGGTGCTGGCCATGGGGGTGCTGACCCTGCTGGCACGGAAGTAACCGAGAAAGTGGAATGCTGGGCTTGGGAGTTGTCACCAAAGGAATATGATAATTATCTTGCTTGTTTTGTCACAGTAATAATGCACATTCACTGTAGAAAAACTCTAAGGATATAAGTGAGAAAATTTAAATTGCTTCTAACGTACAGTGAAGAAGAGACGTGGTCCCTGAAACTGATTTGGAGTCTCCAAACTCAGAATCGGATGACCTGGGAATGAGAAAGGAGGCTAAACACAGAGTTAATTGAGGGTTCGTGTAGGAGGCAGGGCGTCCCTCCATCTGCCCGCGGAACAGCAGACAGCAGGGCGTTTAATCTCAGGACCACCCTCCCCACCCTCCCAAGAAAATCAAAGGAGAAAAGTCAGATTTCCCCACATTGATCCATAGATTCAATGCAACTCCAATCCAAATAAACCTTAACAGTTTTGGTTTTTTGTTCATAGAGTCAACAGGCCGAGTCTAAAAGTTATCTGGAAGGGCAAGGGGCCAACATAGTGAAGGCGTTTCTGAAGAAGGTGAGTACGACGGCAGAGGGCTTCCCTTACAGATAACCAGACGCACTATGCAGCTACCGAAATAAGACAGCATGAGGCTATCCCCGCAGTAGGTACACTGACCGATGGGCTGCAGTGGAGCCCTGCGGGTCTTCTGATGTGTGATCGGATCAGCTTGGTGGGGGCACCAGGAGGGACCCTGGAGTCAGTGGAGCTAAACACATCGCTGTCCACAGTATAAAGATAAAACTGGCCTCCACTCATCCCACACCCCACGGTACCTCCAGGTGAATTCAAGTCTCTAATTACAGGAGCGAAACTTTTAACTTCTTAGCAAGAAATATAGGTTAATGTTTTCTCCTGACCTTCAGGGTAAGAAATGGTTTCTTAAATGAGACACGAGGAAGACAGCTCGAAGGACGTCTCAGCCAGGCCTGGGGGAGCCTGGCCCAGAGCGACCCGTGTCCGGCCCTCCGTCCGTGTTCCCTCTCTGCCGGGCGCGGCCCCGGGAGGGACAAGTGGTGAGTCCCAGGCACATGGCGGGTTCATCCCACGATTCTTTCCGCCAGGCGGCCTCAGTGGCCCATTCCCACAGCTGCCTCGTAGCAGGGCCAAGATGACCTGGCTTCACCTGAACTCTCCGATAAAATCCAATAAACTGTCCTGAGTCCACCCCTCTCCTGACCAAACTACCTTGATAGACAGATATACTAGGAAGGGTTTTTTTTTTATTGTTTTTTTTTTCATGGAGTACAGAACCCTTTTAAACCCATTAAGCGGAAATGGCTCTTTACAGCATCTGAGGACCCATGCTGAAGCTGAAGTTCCAATACTTGGACCACCTAATATGGTGGAGTCTAGACTTGGAGTCTAATATGGGGTCACGCAGCCCCGACAGTCCCCAGATGACCCTGATCATCGCTCCAGTGGAAATCACAGTGGGCACAGATACCACAGGCCACACCACTGGTTTCTAGAATTTCCAAGCCTGCAGGCTCTGGCAGCTGGATCTATTCACCAGCAAGACTTCCAGGTGGTTCTGCCTGCTCTGCGGCACTGGCCTCACCTTGCCGTCTCCACGGGAGCCTCTGATGGGCGAAGCCCGGGTGCCCTGTCTGGATCTTGCTCAAAGGGAGGCTGTGAAGGTGATTTCTGCCTTATTTGTCACCACTGCATCTCTCCCTTTTTATATCTAAAAACCTCCATGTCAAATTCAATCCACAAGTGCATAGATTATTTTTAATAACTACATTTATGCTGGTGACTTTTCATAACACTAGTACCGTGTGACTCCGTAAGTAAAAGAACTCTAAAATTCCAAGTCTGAATTATTTTGGGGAAAACAGATGACCCCAATCACAGCACCTAGGTTCTTGGCTCTTTCTGAATTTGTTCCTAGATCTGCGTGCCCCTCGATTCCACCGTACTTCGAGGCACAAGCTCTTTGCTCACTGACTTGCTGCATGATTCCCCAGCAGACACTGGCTTCATGACAAGGCTATTCTGCCTCGTGAAATGACTGGGAGATTTGTGAAGCATAGAGGGTTGGGAGGGACAGTCCAGGAAGAGGTACACGAGGCTCGTTGAAAGGATGGTGTGGCAGACAGTGTTATGAGCAGAAAGTCACCCCATTCCCACATTCTTTGCAACGTGACTTTCCTCCATCCAGAGATGGAGACCACACCCTCTTAAACTCAGGTGGCCCTGGAAGCCTCCTACCCTATGGGTGGGGATGTAAATTGGTGCAGCCATTATGGACAGCAGTATGGAGGTTCCTCAAAAAACTAAAATTAGAGTTGCCGTGTGATCCAGCAATCTGCATATATTCAGAGGAAACTCTAATTTGAAAGATATGTGCACCCAATGTTTATAACATGGCTATTGACAATGGTCAAGACCTAGAAGCATCCTAAATGTTGATCGACAGATGAATGGATAAAAAGATGTGGTACATATACATGATGGAGTATTACTCAACTGTAAACAAAGAATGAAATAATGCTGTTTGCAGCAACATGGATGGGCCTAGAGATATGACTTGCTCTGACCAGTGGAATGTGCTGGAAGGCATATGTGTCACCCGCAGAGCCGGCAACTGAAGAGGCCTTGCAGCTCTTGCCTTTGCGTGTCTGGAGCCCTGCCCTGGGGCCACTACGTCCCAGGGGAGCCCAGATGAAAGGCCATGTGGGGACGGAGGCCAGCAGCCCAGGGTACCCGCTGGGTCTGGTCCCCAGCCTACTTTCCATGAGTGAGCCCAGCAGAAACCATCCTGTCAATCCCCCCAGAATCATAAAAAATAATACATCCTTCTTATCTTGAGCCACTAAGTTTTGGTTTCATTTTTCATGCTGCAATAGATGACAGAAATAGATAAAATCAAGGTCTTGAATGCACTCTGACGGTGGAAAAGCTAGGTAACAAGTGGATGGAGAGTTTATTTTTCTAACATTTAGTGGGTATCTAGTGCACACCAGCCAACTTATGTATATGGCTTTGTTTCTGTCTGATTCTAAAGACCTTGATCCAGACCACACCACCACACTGCCGCCCGCACCTTTTTAAAAAAATTAATTCATTTGTGTTTTGGCTGTGCTGGGTCTTCATTGCACCATTCAGGCTTTCTTTAGTTGCGGGGGGCGAGGGCTGCTCTCCAGCCGTGGCGTGCGGGCTTCTCACTGCGGTGGCTTCTCTTGGTGCGGAGCACGCGCTCCAGGCCCCCAGATTCAGTCCTTGTGGGGCACTGGCTTTGTTGTCTTGCCGCATGTGGAATCATTCCAGACCAGGGATCGAACCTATATCCCCTGCATTGCCAGGCAGATTCTTACCCACTGTACCACCAGGCAAGTCTGCCACCACTACTTAGAAGGAACCAAGACAAAATAACAAAGGATAAACAGAGACAGGGAAGTTAACACTCAAGCTTTATAACTCCTACCTTCTGTGTTTATTTCCTAGTTAAAGATTACTTTCTGCAAGAAGGGAGGAACGATTCTTGAAACGAAGACCTACGTTCCTATTCAGGCTTCTGTTTCAATACTTCCTTCCTTGAATTATTATTGTATAAAAGATGAATGTTCTGAGATTGACTTGGATTATAAGAGGTTTGAGAATGGGAAAATTCAAACAAACACACTTGTGAAAAATAAACAGAACTTGCATTGACTAATAATTCCTGTCAAGGCACAAAGCCTTCTAAAGCAATGACTGACATTCATTCATTCAACAGAAACCTGTTGAATAATTACTAAGTGCCAGGCATTGTGTCTATTAATAAACCCAGTAATATTTGCAATGAGACAAATATGATGTTTTCCAGCATTCAAGTACTGTGTAGTCTAGTTACAAGAGAAAATTATATAAAAGCCCAACATCTGAATTTTCTATCATTTTTCCTAAATTAAAAACAAATCAATGAGCTAAAGAAAAAAAGTTGCTTTGAGTTGATTTTCTAATTAAAGTGATAGAGCTGCAAAAATTAAGATGCAATCTCCCATATGACCAAAGCCTATGCAGTGACACACCACACATTTGTTTCATTTACAGTAAATGCTGGCTGCTCTCTTAAGCTTGTGATCCAGAACTTGGTAGGAATTTCTCTCTTCATGGAACCATAAAGAAGCTTCAAATTATAGATGACCCTAGAAGACAATAATTCAGAATTTCCTGGAAGGCAACAAATTTCCCTCCTCCTCTTGCTTTTGTTGCCTCTTGGATTGCACAGAAACTCTCTAGCTTAGAACTATGTCTGTGTTTGATGACTGTCATTGTTTGAACTAAGAACCATATTAGAAAATGGCCTTCAGAGGAGTGTTTCACAGTAGTGACGGGGCCGTTCTAGCCCAGGCTGAGCGGGGCTGGACGTGTTCCTTGCCTTCTCTGTGTTCGGTTTACTTCTTTGTGAAGCGAGACCATTGGATGAGGTAGTATCGAACATCCTCCCGGGATGTAAATGTGCGAGGTCCTTGCAGGAGCTCTTGCTGGTTGCTGGCTGATTTCTAGACCTCCAGGACAAAATTCCTCAGGAGTTTTCACATCAGTTTGATTGCACTTTTCTCTCTTGATGCTCACCTGGACTTTAGAAGATTTTTACATTAGAATTTCCTATACTGTTTTCCAGGCTAAGGTTTATAGGGTGTGTACAGGGTGAGTGTGTGTGTGTACCCAGTTGAGGGTGCAATATGAGAAGGGCACAATTTACCATGATGAGACTGGTGTTTACTAGGATTGGGGGATTTTGAGAAACTGCTGGCTTCCATGTTAGCCATCTGCTGGGCTTAGATAATCCACCAGCAATAAAACACTGGGCTCTCCATATGCTGCTCTCTGGCCCCGGGTGAAGAGGCAATGGGCTGGGAGTTCAGATGTCTATGTTCCAGTCCTGATTGCCGCCCAGCAAGTTGTGTGATGAACCGCCTCCTTGGTCCAGGCCTCAGCTTCTTCATCTATACAATGGGCTGCACTCGACCATATTTACCTAGAATGTCTGGAACCTACTTAGGTACATCTAACGCTATTTTAGGAGTTTGGATAAACTGAGTTCAAAATAACACAATTAACCCCAAAATGATTTCAGCATGTACTATGCATGTGCTCCAGTATTCTTGCCTGGGACATCCCATGGACGGAGGAGCCTGGCAGACTACAGTCCATGGGGTCATAAAGTGTCAGACATGACTTGGCAATTTACAGCAGCAGTAACAAGTTAGAAGAGAAGTGAGGTCACTTTTGAAGAATCATCACACTGGCGCCTTGCCGATGAGACCTCAGCGGCATCCCTGAAGTCCCCAGTTATGCTCTGCACTGCCCTGACTAAACGCCAGCTCTGTCCCCTGTCACTTTTGTAGCTGCAAACGCCACACCATCATCACACACGCATGCCAAGTCGCTTCAGCGTGTCTGACTCTTTGCGACCTCATGGCCTGTAGCCCGCCAGCATCCTCTGTCCATGGGATTCTCCAGGCAAGAATGCTGGAGTGGGTTGCCATTTCCTCCTCCTAGACACCATCATCATACCCTCAGAAAATACCTTCTACTGTTACAAGCAGAGGAGGAGCTGATGTGACTTGGAAGTTTCCTCTCTGGGAGCTCATCTCCCAAGAGTGGGCATATGCACAATTTGTAGGGTACTGAGTTGAGCTGATCATATGAGACACATGGAGCCAGCTCTCTAAGGCTGGGTCCCCCAGCCTTGACATTGGGGATATTTTGGGCTGGATAATTCTGGTTTTGGAAAATTTCCTGTACATTGTAGATATTTAGCAGCATCCCTGGATCCTTCCCATTCCATGCTAATAGCTACCCTCCCTCCAGGTGTGACAACCAGAGATGTGTCCAGCTTTTGCCAGGTGTCCATGGGGGCTAAATCAGCCTCCAAGGGGAGTGCTTCTGGATATGTGTGTGTGTGTGGGCATGCTCAGCTGTGTCCATCTCTTTGTGACCCCATGGACTGTAGCGCACCAGGCTCCTCTGCCCATGGGATTCTCCAGGCAAGAATACTGGAGTGAGTAGCCATTCCTCTCTCCAGCGGATCTTCCCCACCCAGGGATCAAACCTGCATCTCTTGCGTCTCCTGCTTGGCAGGCAGGTTCTTTACTGGCTGAGCCACTGGGAAGGCGCCCTCTGGATACGTGGACTTCCACACTGTCGAAGGCAGTCTTGAGACAAAGAACTGGGTGCA